CAACTTCTGCAGGTGTCACAGATAGGGAGCCTGAGCCCCTGCATCTTCTGCACCTGTCGCAGTTCGGGAGCCTGGAAGCTGCCACTGCCCAGCCCGGATGGAGCAAGTGTAGTTGGTAGGGGGGGGGGGTGGCTAGTAGTAGTAGTAGTAGTAGTAGTAGTAGTAGCAGTAGTAGTAGTAGTAGTAGTAGTAGTAGTAGTAGTAGTACTATTCTTATTAACAAGAATAAGTAATAGTAGTGAAGTTCGCGAAGGGCGCGAAGAGCGCGAAGACGCGCGAAGGTCGTGAAGGTGCGTGCGCGAAGATCGGTGATGCCCAGCGACTTCGACAAGGTTTCGAAAATCACCGCGCTTGCGCGCCCATGCACGCATCTCACGACAAGTCACCGCGCTTGCGCGCCCATGCATGCATCTCACGACGCTGCGGCGCCATTGCCCCGGAGCCAGCAAATCAAGGGGAAACTCGCGGGGGGTTATTTTTTGATGCGATTTTTTTCCAAGAGTTTTGACGCCAAGCCAAAAAGTCGGGTCGGGGCCGAAAACAACATGAAAACGAATATTTGTCGTAAAAAAAGTGTTTCTTGTGCCCGCTATGTGGATACGTCCGGGAAAATCTTTTTCCCCTATATGGATGGGCTTGAGGAAGGCTTCTGCCTCCAGGTATGGATGTGTCTTGGAAGGTGGCTCTTCTTTGCTGGGACATCCTTAAATGAATGCGCAGGCATCCTTTCAGATAGATGCACTTCCCGTGTATAGGTCAAATGCACGCGTACATAGCGGGTGCGCTTGCGGTCGTGGTTGATTTTTTTCTCGGCTCGCCGCAATCTTTTGGAGCTCAGAACCCTTCGTAGTGCAGCTTTGTGGGTGGCCGCCTTGTCGGGGCGACGGGGCCTAGTACCCAGAGTTAGTCTGGGGAAGCCAAGAGCCACCCGAAGATCAGCCGCCCACTCAGTCGGTGTGCTGCCGCTCCTTGACACTAGGCGAAGACTGCAGCAACTCCTGTATGGACAGTTGTATGGACATTATTCGAGGCCGGGTTTGCATGTGCGCGTTTTTTCTGTCTCCGAGGCATGGCGTTGTGAAACCACAGAATAGGGAACACGGACTCGAGTTTGTTTTTCTTTGCGTGACAGGGTGGGATAAGTAGTTGGATGAGGAGTGGGGAGACTGGTCCAACCGTCCGCCGCCGGCGGCCATTCCCTTCAATGCCGTCGTCTCGAAGTGGAGCCCGTCGTACGCTCCAAGACGGGCAGGCCAGTCCACTTCGGCCCGCAAACGAGCCACGTGACGCAGCTCCGGGAACGGCAGGCAGCCGAGCAAGCGCGGAGAAAGGCCGAGAAGGAGCGCAAAGACGCCGAAGTCGCCGCCGCCAAGAGCTTGCTGCTGGCGGCGAAGAAGCCCCATCGTAAAGGTAAAATGCCGGCCGCAGAGAAGGATGCCCGCAAGCGAGCCCGGCAACTTCTTCGTGCGTGTGAGAAGAAGGGCCCGGGGGGGGGTCGGCGGCGGTGGCTCCGCCGAAGCGCAGCGGGGTGCTGGCTTAGAGGCGGTTGTGAAAAGAGAGCGGCGTGGAGAGCTGAGCAATGCCCTCGGCTACCAGCAGATTTTAAATATGAATCCCTCCACGAGCGAGTCTGAGTCGTCGGAGTGAAAACAATTTGCGCTGGTTTCCTCTAGTCACTTGTTCTGCTGACCCTTAGCGGTTTCTTGCTACCCTCCGATATGTTCTGGACAGGTTCGCACGTGGCCCTGGTGGTTTTTGTGCTACTACTACTACTACTACTACTACTACTACGACTACTACGACGACTGCTACTACTACTACTACTACTACTACTACTACCACCCCCACTGCTACCGGTGGTACCGCTGCTACCACTGCTATGGTTTTTTGCTGATGCTGCTGCTACCACCACGACAACAGCCACTACGATGGTAGTTGCTACAACTACTGCTGCTGTCTCTGTTTCGTTCTGGCAGGTGGGCTGCCCGTAAGGAGCTGTGGAGAGTCGGCAGATGGCTTTGAGGCACTGGGTTCGGGCCCGTTATGTAGGATTTTTGTTGGCTTGCATGGTTTTCATGTATAGGGTTCCGAGGGGTTGCACAGTTTGCGGGGCTCGGGGCGTACATAGGGTGCCTTATGTCTGGGTCCCGGAATGCCTTGGCTTGTCTGCGTGTCGTCAGCTGCGTTCCGTTGCCGTCTTGAGCTTGTCTGTGTTGCGGTTCTTCAGGTTCTACACCCTGGCCTTAAATCCTGCCAAGGCCTAAACCTGACACTGTTTTCAAAATCAAAAATGTCCCAAATTGTCGCATGTTCTAAACAATTGCCGCCCTAAACGTGAGGAATGAGGACGAGTGTAGGATTTAGTGTTTCTTCGGTGTAGGTCGGGCCTAAACCCTAAACCCTAAATCTTAGCCAACCCGAAACCCGGCCGAAGCCCGACGGAGCTCGTGTCGCAGTACGGCTCCGTGGATGGACTGTCCGAGGTGAAGCTGTCTGCTGCAGCGCCGCTGCTTGGGTGGGGGCCCTAGCGATCAACTATCGGAAAATAGTTCCGCCAAATCCCAAACTTGAAAACTCGCTAGCCACGGCGACCGCTTGATTGTTGTAGCTCCGGGTGTTGCGTCAAACGGTTTAGAGATCTGTCCGTTGGGGGCCTAGCATGTTGGGCGTCTAAAATTTCGATCCAAGGTAACTCCTGGGGTTGCAAACGCCCAGCCGTCTGACGTTCTTTTGGATTTGGGGAGGTCGGTGGGTTTAAGGTTTAGGGTTTAGGGGCTACCATAGTCGGGAGTTTTGGTTCGGGCTTGAGGTCGTCGATACTACAGTCCCTAAACCCTAAACCCTAAACCCTAAACCCTAAACCCTAAACCCTAAACCCTAAACCCCAAACCCTAAGCCCTAAACCCCAAACCCTAAACCCGCAACCCAACCGTCAAAAGCGGAAGCCGAATTCCGAGGGCTCCAAGGATGAGCGTGCAGATTACTCAGAGGCCCCCAGGATGAAACACCTCCTAGTAGCTCCTTATAGAACCCTTTGAAGCAACTCAAATAGGAGGCCTATTCTAAGTATTATGGCCCCTGTGTTACATTCCAAACCCAAAGCCTAGAGAACTGAGCCTAAACCTGATACGTTCGGCTCGGTTACAGTCGTGAGAAAGTAGTTTCGGGCTGAGGATTACGGGTTTCAGGGTGTGGGGTTAGGGTTTGGGGGTTGGAAGGTGTTAGGGCTTATTTGGAGGATTATGGGACTTAGTAACTAGGGTTATAAGCAGGGTAGCTAT